AGGTAAGGAGATTCTTATGTATCACTATAAAAATGATAGATCAAACAGTCAAAATATTAGTAAGGCTATAGAAAATCTGGATAACATTATTAATAAGCTTGATTTAATAGACCCATATAGGAGGCTACACTTAACAATTAAGGGATGCACATTCTTTTCAAAACCATATAGAATATTTATGAAAAACTGACCATTTACTAGAGCAAGCTTCAACAGGTAACAAAGAATTTGCTTCATACAGACCACTTTCTCTGGCCTGAATTCAATTGTTAGACATAAATAAAAATCAAAACAAAAAAACCCTTATGTTTAGAAATGTAAACACATGGTGAACCAAAGAAAAAAATCATATTTGATATCTAAATATTCTTTGCCTGGAATGACAATAAAAATTCTATATATTTTGTGAAATGTAGTTTGAGTAGTACCCAGAATGAAACATGTAGCCTAAATGTCAAAATTAAAAAATGAGGCCGGCTGGTGTGCTCAGTGGTTGAGCATTTGACCCATGAACCAGGAGATCACAGTTTGATCCCCGGTCAGGGCACATGTCCGGGTTGGGGGCTATATCCCCAGTAGGGGGCGTGTGGGAGGCAGCCGATAGATGATTCTCTCTCATCATTGACGTTTCTATCTTTCCCTTCCTCTCTCTGAAATAAATAAAAACATTAAAAAAAATGAGAAGGCTGACAATTACTTTAAGCCGCCAATTCAAGAAACTTTTAAAAAGGCAACAGAACAAACCCAAAGAGAACAGGAGGAAGAAAATAATATATGGTATATATTAATAATACTCTTTATCTTATATATGGTATATGTTCTTATATATAAGAATGAGATATGTTAATAATATATAAAAGCAAAAATTAATGAAACAGAAAACAGTGTTAAACTAAAAGTTGATTCTTTGAAAACACTAGTAGAAAGTAGGAAAAAAACACCAGTTAAAAAAGGGAGATCTCTGGCACAACTGACTCAGAAAAGGGAAGATACATATACAATAATATTTGGAATGAAAAAATGGATATGGATAGATGCAGCAGAGAAAATATATTGAGCAAACTATGAACTGCATTTGTCAATAAATGTGAAAACCAAGATGGTATGGATAATTTCCTTGAAAAATTTAATGTGTAAAAATTGACTCAAAGTATAAAACCCAAAGAGATTCATAACTATTAAAGAAATGGAATCAGTAGTTAAAAATCAGCCTAGGAAATGTTTATACCAGAGCCAGACATTTTACCGGCAAGTTCTACCAAACAGTCAAGGAACACATAATTCCAATTTTATACACACTGTTCCAGAAAATGGAAAAAGAAAGAACATTTACCAGTTCATTTTATGAGGCCAGTATAACCAGACAAAGGCAATACGAGAAGGGAAAATTACAGCCAATTTGACTCATGACATGGATAAAAAAAATCCTACAATGAAATTAGATGTTGACCTTCATTCATTCATTCATTCATTCATCCTTTCAGTCATTCAACAAATATTTATTGAGTGTCCACCATGCACCAACAGGCACTGTGCTAATAAACGGAGAGCTTAGGGCTTGAGGGAGGAGATGAGCAATAAAGCAAATGATCACACAGAGTAAGGTACATAGAGGACATTCTGGCAGGATAATAACAGTACATACTAAAGGGTATCTGACCTGGTCAGAAGGTTAGGGAAAGCTTTCTAGACAAATTACTGGAATAAGAATGGGTGTGGGAAGAATGTTTAGGAGGCTATTGCAGGGGTTCAAGTGGAAGATCTGGGATGCAGTAACTGGAAAGATGAATTTGAGAGATATGTAGGAAGACCTATATACCACATACTACAGACTGTCATGATGGATTGCATATGGGAAGGGGTCAACCTTGTCTCTAGGATGATAGAAGGAACCCTAAAAGAGGTTCAGATTTAGGGGGGGAAAAGCAAGGTTTGGACATGTTGAGTTAGGGGACCTTTAGGAAGCCTAAGTCCAGATGTTGAATAGGAAATTAACTGGAACCTAGAGCTCAGTGGGGAGGTCAGGCTGAAGATTTTGAGGGGCAGCAGCACGTAAATGGTATTTAAACCCATCTCAGAGGAGCTCACCCAGAAGAGGGTGTGAAGCTGGGGGTGGAGGATGAACACTAATATTGAAAGAGGAGGAGTGGCTGCGGAGAGAGGAGGAGAGCCAGGAGAATGTGGGCATCAAGGGTGTCAAGGGAAGAGCGAGTTACAAGGGAGTGTCCAACAGTATCATGAGCTGTGGAGATTTTAAGGGTGGAGGACTGACATTGTGCTTCTGTAGTTCTTCTGACCCAGGAGCTACATTGAGTGAGCGTACTGGAGAAGAAATGCTTAATAATAATAACAACAACAACCTATTAGAATCCATGCAGTGAAAGGGACAGCAGGAGGGAATTCTGGGGGACAATGAAAGTCTCTGGATCTTGATTATGGTGGCGGTTACCCAACTCTAGGCATTTGCTAAAACTTATAGAATTATAGAATACCAAGAGCAAATGTTACTGCACATAAATTAAAAATAAACAGGTAAAAACAATGTAGTAATGGAGATAAAAAAAATCTAGCTCTTTCTCAATGACTTTGTAACTGCAGTGCTAGCCCCTCTCAGGCTTTTAATTCAGTTCACTGTCAGCTTGTGCAGGTCCACAACAGGGAACAAGGACACCCTACTCTTGCCTCGTGAAGGACAGAATAAATATGCAGGCAGCAGAGCCAAAGGGCATTGCACTGGTGGCCAGAACCCCTTTTAAGAACTGACTGGTGGGGGCAGGGTACGGCCTGGTGAGCTTAACTTCTCTGGGACCCTGATGTAAAATGAGGGGGTTGGGTCAGGAAAGGCCTTTCTACCTCTGATGGTGGGCAGTTCTAGCATAAACATCCCAAACACAATCGTTTTAGCTCTGTTGTCTGCATTTGTTATTGAGAATAATAAAAGACAATTCCTGTAATAGCAACAGGCTCTTCAACATGTGAGACCCTGTATGATTTGGGAAGCAGCTTGAAGTTACAGAAAATGCTTGGGCTTGTGGTCTAAAGCTTTAAAGCGCCGTCTAAAAGTCATGTGAAGTAATGAATGATAATAAGCATGACCCTTCTAGGTTTACAGTGAAAAGGGGACTTTTACATTTGCTTATTTCAGTCCCTCTTCTCAACCCATCAATCCCAACCGGGAGAAATTATCTCAGTTTAGGAGACAGGGAGATTAAGAGAGTCTGGTCATACAAGCTTTGGCTGGTGTTGAGATTTTCCAAATCTTCCACTTTTCCAAGTCCCACAGTGGGTTTGGTAGTTTTGGTGTTGCGTGTATTCAATTGTGTCCTAATCCTATGACATTTAATGGAAAAGTGTTTACTGGGCATCGATTCATGCTTAACACTAGTCTGAGTGTTCGGTGAACTACAGCTTTGTTGCCCCTCATGCTATATTAAGTCAGGGTATTGTAATAATTTAAAACAATAAGGATAATTGTTTTAAATACCCTATAAATTGATCCAGCCTGAAATCTGCTGGAGAACTGTGAGATGCCTCTGGGAAGCTACAAATTTTTAGAATTTTCAGTGAGGAAGGGATGAAGTCAGTATTAAGCACCTACTGTGTGCCAGATCCTGCAGCTGCACCACACCTAAGGTGGCAGGTAAGGGGTGAGAGGAGTGAAAGGGGGGTGTCTGAAGCTACCCTCAGGTACCTCCCCAGATGGTGGGGAGTCTTGGGCTATGTTAATCGCAAGCATACTATAGAAAGGTTGGGAGAGGAATTTCCTAAAATAACCACCCTTCCTAGTCATCCCAGAAACCCTTCAAAACTAATATTTTTACTATATACAAAATTTTGCTTTAAATCTCATTTGACCTTGACCCCTATAAACCTATCTTATTATTTTTTAAAATGCTGTATGATTAACGTGGAAACCCTTTCTTCGACGCTTTCTCACCACTGGAATCGAGCCAGTTTCTCAAAGTTCCAAAATAACCTTTCCCGGGCACGGATTCGTACCTCTGCCGGGGAAGGGCGGGGAGCGGCGCAAGACTCGCCGGTGTGGAGCGAGAGCCAGAGAGAACTTCAGCGCGAAAGGAAAATAAAACTTGTGGCTGGTGTTTGTGCGAGAGGGTCTCGGCCATCCAGAAGCCCCCGGATCCTGGGAGATCTCGGGGGCCGCCCAAGGGTAGCCAGGGTTTGGGTTTGATCCCGACGTCCTTGACCTAAATTTCTGCGTGGTGGCTGGAAAAAGGGCGCAGAACCGGGCGGGCGCCTGGTGCCATCCCCGGATCCCAGCTGCCGCGGCCAGCGAACTTGAATGGAGAGGCCGAACTAGCGGGGGTGGGGGTCGTCTTCTCCCCTGTCCGACTGAGGATCGGCCGCTAGC